TCCATTTAAGCCACCCCGACTTAATCTTGAGGGCCACGTCTTGATCAATGTCCCCATTTTTTTGGATGATCGACCCAAGATATTTAAAACATTCACTCATGCATGGTCAAGTCCTTTCCATCCAAACTCACCACCTCATTGCTTGTCCCCCTCTAAACACCAAAGCGGCATACCAAATATTCAGTCTTACTCCAACTTAGCTTAAACCCTGTAGATTCCAACCTTTACCTCCATTGCTCCATCTTGGCATTAACCCCATCTTTAGTTTCATCCACCAAAACGATATCATCCGCAAACAGCATATACCATGGAAATTCATCTTGAATTAGTCTAGTTACTTTATCTAGAACCGTTGCAAAAAGAAAATGGCTTAATGCAGACCCTTGATGCAATCCAATTGTAATAAAGCATATAAAATAATAATAACTATAAAGTGATTCTGATATAATACTAACTATACAAAATTAAAATATTTTTATAAGTATCTTCGATCACATGCCCATAATTCAAATAGTATATTATAAAGTCATAAAACATTGATACACATACTAACCTAGTTATATATTAAAGACAAATCGGGAATGATGTATGTCATTTTCTGATTAAAAAATTCCCTGTCTATAATTATTCTTTCTTTCTTACAAAATCTTTTTAAGAAATACTTGGGTTTGATATACTACATTTTTACCATTATATGTCAGTCAATTAAATATTTTTTCCGAAAATTCCTTATAAATATATGTCTTTCATATAAATATAGCTTTTTTATTTTACCATTATGCATATGTCATATGTATATTCAATTAAAATGTTACTAGGTTGACCCTAAACGGATGTTAAATAATTTAAATATCAATATAATAATTATTTAAAATTTGAAACTAATAGTATAATGAATCCATTCACCAAGTATTAAAACGCATGAAATCATTACCGCTTGGACAATTAGACATCTAACCTGTAATCGCAACGGCCCAATTGCAAGAGCGGCGCTCTACCACCTGAGCTATATCCCCCCGAGCCAAATGGAGCATGCATGAAGAAGTCAGACACTTCTTCGATTCTTATTCTTTTTCCTGGCGCAGCTGGGCCATCCTGGACTTGAACCACCAAGGAAGTTATAACCCCTAAAGAGGCTAGAGCAAGTCTTAATTGAAAATGAATCGAATTGTTGATTGTGTCATAAAGACCCTTATGGCGTCCCAATCGCCCCCTGGAGGAATATGTGCTTCTAAATGATCTTTCATACTGTGCCCAATCCCAAAGTTTGTTCTACTGCAGCTGCACGAGCCTTTCCCGCATGCCACCAATGACCTACGAATAGCAAAAATCCTATAACAAAATGAGAAGTAGCTAACCAACTTCTAGGAGAGACATAATTGATTGCATTGATCTCAGTAGCCACCCTACCCACATAATTTAAAGAACCTAAAGGAGCATGGGTCATATATTCTGCGGAACGGCGTTCTTGCCAAGGTTGTATGTCTTTTTTCAGCCGACTCAAGTCCAAACCATTTGGACCTCTTAGGGGTTCTAACCAGAAAGCGCGCAAATCCCAAGAGGGAGTTGGACATATCGGAAACTATCTAAACGTGAGACAAGAGCGCCTTCAACCATACCCGCATCCAACCATGGAGGCAAGTACGCTCTAAGAACTCGAGTTCTTAGTGCCAGGTATTTTTCTAAATAAATGATTCGCTACAAAAGGATTTTTTCTTTTAGTGAACGTGTCACAGCTAAGTACTCCTATATTTTTTTATTTAAAAACGAAAAAACTAATTCTATTTTCAAAACTTGTGGTATTAGTCCCAAAAGAGAAATGAAATTAAATTTCGGGAAATTGTACTTATGCCTTTGTCAAATAAATTATTTAACATTATGTTGCAGAATACTTTGTATGTTATACTACGTTAGATCTGGCAATCCTGACCCAGATCCGATGACCCAACCTGAATGACCCGACCCATGACCCGAAAATGACCCAAAACCCGAAATTGACCCGACCCGACCCATACCCGACTCGAAAATAGAGTTAACCCGATCCTGACCCGACACCCGAATTGACCTGACCCGAAATTGACACGAATTGTTTGACCCGAACAAACCCGATACTCAAAATTGACCCAAACAGACCCAATACTCGAAATGTCCCGAACTAAAATTACCTTATAATTGAACTAAAAATGTTTGGTGCCAAAAATAATATAAATTGTTCATCTTCAACTGTAGTCACACTCATAAACCGAATTGATAGTTCTTATTATAACAATAATAAAATATAAAATTATAGATTTGAACTAGATCCACAAATTAAATGGAACAACCCGAACATGACCCGACCCGAATATGACCCTAACATACTTAACCCGAAAATGACCCGACCCGATACCTGACCCGAGCCATACCTGAAACCCGAAATGACCCGACCCAACACAAACCCGACCCGAATGTTAACTGACCCGATATGACCCGACCTGAAATTGACCCAACCCATATCCGACCCGAATGATCCATTTACCAGGTCTATACTACGTACTATGTATGATTTAATGTCAAATAATTGTCTCTTCTTATTCGTGCTACTTTTATTTTATTTTTGCTATGCCGCATGACACTCTATAGCATTGGAAGTGCCTAAATACTAAAGAAGCTGAAACGTCATCCTCACAGACCAGCTAAGATATGGACCCACTTTAAAATTAATGAGTGGCTGATTTTAATGTAACTAAAGTGATTTTTCACATTTTCTATAATATCTGGACATTCAGCCAATCAATAAGGTATTACCGTACTAGAACTTGTGGTATTAGTCCCAAAAGAGAGATGAAATCAAATTTCGGGAAATTGTACTTATGCCTTTGTCAAATAAATTATTTAACATTATGTTGCAGAATACTTTGTATGTTATACTACGTACTATGTATGATTTAATGTCAAATAACTGTCTCTTCTTCCGGCAGCTCATCCCAACTTTCTATGGGATGTCGCATATCTGCTGTCAACAGTATTTGGTTTATAACTAAAACAATAAAAACATATGAGAGAAAATATTTAAATTTGTAATAGTTACAATATAATGTACAAGTTGATATTTTAAGAAGCTTACTTAGATTTAATTAGACCTGGTAAATGGGTCATTCGGGTCGGGTCTGGGTCGGGTCACTTTTGGGTCGGATCACTTTCGGGTCAGCTAACATTCGGGTCGGGTATGGGTCGGGTCGGGTCGATTTGGGTTTCGGGTCAAGTATGTTCGGGTCAGGTCAAAATCTGGTCGGGTCATGTTCGGGTTGTTTCATTTGTGAATCAAGCTCAAATGAATAATTTTATACTTAGTATATATTTTGTTATTGTTATAATAGAAACTATCAATTCAGTTTATGACCTTAGCTACGGTTGAAGATGAACAATTTGAGTTACTTTTGGTACAAGACATTTTAAGTTCAATTATAAGGTAATTTTAGTTCGGGACATTTCGGGTATCGGGTCAATTCGGGTCAATTTTGGGTATTGGGTCTGTTCGGGTCAAACACTTCGGGTCAATTTCGGGTCGGGTCAACTTCGCGTCGGGTCAGTTTGGGTATCGGGTCAGGATCGGATCAACTCCATTTTTCAGGTCGGGTATGGGTCGGGTCGGGTCAATTTCGGGTTTCGGGTCATTTTCGGGTCAATGTTTTTGGGTCAATTTCGGGTCATTCGGGTCGGATCATCGGGTCTGGGTCAGGATTACCAGGTCTAGATTTAATACAAAGTAATAGTCATTATTTAGATACAAAGTTTATTTTTATATACAATTATTTTCTTTAAGAAAGTAAATTTGGAGGAAAACATTTTTATAATATATTGTCAAGTATTCTTTAAGTAATATGTAATAGGTTCCAAATCTTCCTTACTTTTTATATTAAGAAAAGATAATTTGTATGTAATGCAATTATTTCCTCCCAAATTCAATAAAACTTTTGCAAAAACCTATAGAAATAATTATTAAGTAGTTTTAATCATTTGTATGTTAAAATTCGTATATCACGCAAGTACGAAACCAAACTTAAAATTTACTCTTTAGCTAAAAAAACCACCTAATATCGACAATATCATACATTTTATAAAGAGAATATATTTAATAGATTTTGTTTACATTGACTAATAATTGATGTATTATTGTAGCAAGTTACATTATTTTAATATCATCAATGACCACAACATCTTAAGATATGATATATTATATATGCCGATCTGATTTCTGTTAGGTAATTTATGACGTTGATTTAGATCTGACAATCATTACCCAGACCTGATGATCTGATCCGAATGACTCGACCCATGACCCGAAATTGACCCAAAAACATTGATCCGAAAATGACTCGAAACCCGATATTGACCCGACTCGATCCATACCCGACCCGAAAATGGAGTTGACCCGACACCCGAATTGACCCGACCCGAAGTTGACCCGACCCGAAATTGACCTGAAGTGTTTGACCCGCACAGACCCGATACCCAAAATTGACCCGAACAGACCCGATACCCGAAATGTCGCGAACTAAAATTACCTGATAATTGAACTTAAAATGTCTTGTACCAAAAGTAACTCAAATTGTTCATTTTCAACCGTAGCTAAGCTCATAAACTGAATTGATAGTTTTTTATTATAATAATAACAAAATATATATTCCGTATAAAATTATTCATTTGAGCTTGATTCACAAATAAAACAACCCGAACATGACCCGATCAGATTTTGACCTGATCCGAATATGACCCGAACATACTTGACCCGACCCGAAATTACGACCTGAACTTGACCCAATACTTGACCCGAAACCCGAAAGTGACCCCGACCCGACCCATACCCGCCCCGAATGTTAGCTGACCCGAAATGACCCGACCTGAAAGTGACCCGACCCGAATGACCCATTTACCAGGTCTACGTTGATTGTTATTTGTGTCAATATTATATATAGACGTACAATGATATCTCCCTATTCCAAAAACATAAGCGCAAATATGATCCCTACTAATTCCGGCTAAACGGAGTGCAAGTTGCTTTACTTTATACAACTCCTACTTTATAACGTAGAAATTACATACGTATTATCTTTCTATATAAAGTAGCACAACAAATGCTACAAACTACAAGATACAAGCAATATTTATGCTATAGCTCTTTCTTGTCTTTTTACTTAAAATAAAGCAAGATATGTCTCCGATTGTAGTGAGCCTTGTAGGGGTGGTGATCATAATAAGCATCACACATTTGCTATTTACAAGGAAGAAAACATCAACATACCATGGCAAACTCCCCCCGGGTTCAATGGGTTTGCCATTTCTTGGTGAAACACGTCAATACTTTACCCCGTATTCTTCCTTCGACATTCCTCCCTTTGTCAAACAACGGGTGCTCAAGTAAATTTATAATTTATACTAACAGTATATAGTATATGATGATTTACCAAAAGTGAAATAAAGTACAAATGAGTAAAAATAAATACAAAATATTAAACAATTACTCCGTAGTATTTGATTAATATACTTAATCCATTCATGAAATTGCAACATTTTACCATTAAAGGAAAATTCACAAATATTTAACCATACCATTTAAGAAAACCAAACAATTCTTTGCAAGCATGCTCTTATTGTTAATACATACTTGTTACTTTGGTTAATGCTTCTACACTCATGGACAAATTCTCATGTAGTCCCCCAATGTACCCTGTTTATTTATTGATCTCTCTTTCCTTTTTCCACTATTATATCTAAATTCTTGTGTACTCTATCTCCCCGTGGTGTAATTTATTATGCATTTGTAAAAATAATATAAACTTTATACGACTATATTTAAATTATACATTAACATAAATCCAATAACATCTAATTTATTAACATATTATTTTATATAATACCAAGAAAAATTGTAACAGTAGTACTATAGTCAAAGCAAATTAGGTATTCAGAAACGGTGTCATTAGCTATTAGTGGTATAATGTACAGGGGCGGATTATTATAAAGGCTCAATGGGGCTTGGCCCCTGATAGATTTGGGAAAAAAATTGAATATGTAAAGGCTTTATACAACAGTCCAATAATAAGATAGTAAAGCTTTGAAGGCCCATAAAATACACTAAGGGTGCGTTTGGTTCGCTGGTTTCAGGAAAGGGAATGAGAATCATTCCCTTTCAACCTGTTTGTTTGCCACTTTTTCCCTCAATCATTCCCCCATTTCATTTTTCAAAATACCCCAAAACCCCTCTTCCCCATTCCCCACCCCCCCCCCCCCACTTTCCTATTCCATTCCCCACCCACCCTAACCCTAACACTAACACCCATATACGCCGGTGGTGGTCGGACGGCGACTGTCGGCGAGCACCGGGGAGTGGTCGGGGAGGCTCGGCGAGCACCGGGGAGTGGTCGGCGATGTGGTGCTGTGGTGGAGGAGGGAGATCGAGCGTCGGGGAGGGGGGCTGGAGCATCGGGGAGGGAGTTCAAGGTGGTGCTGTGGTCGGTGGTGGTCAGCGACCGTCGGCGAGGGGGGCTGGAGGGTCAGCGAGGGGTCAGCGACCGTCGGCGAGGGGGGCGCGACTGTCGGCGAGGGAGTTCGAGCATCGGGGAGGGGGGCTGGAGCATCGGGGAGGGAGTTCGACGGTCGGGGATGGGGGCTGGATGGTCGGCGACGCTCGGGGATGGGTCAGCGACGGTCAGCGGAGGTCTGTGAGGGTTCGGCGGCGGTCGGAGCTGCGCTGTGGTGGTGGTGCTGTGGTGGAGGGAATGATTCCCTGGTTTTTGTAACAAACAACCTTCCAAATTTTCCACTTTGCCATTCCATTCCATTTCACTCCCTTTGTTCATTCCATTCCGATTCCCTTCTGTGAACCAAACGGCCCCTAACTGATTACTTCTCTATTTACCTAGGAAAATCAAATATATAGTACTATAACTACCCAATTGGCCAATTTCCAACAATCACTGACAAGTGACAACCCACTACCCACTACCCACTACCCACAAAACCCCTCTCTTTCTTTTACTCCGTAATGACATCAATTTAATGAATTAAAGTATGTGCACTTTTTCCATGGGAGCACAATTAAAAGGCTAACACAAACATTAGTACTTTTCCGTTTTTTTTTTTTTTTACTGTTACATTAATGGTATTTTTTTCCTGTATTTCTGCATTATTGAATTTGTAAATAACTTTCATATGTTTATTTTATTATATTCTTGCTATAGACGTAAAATTATATTAAAAACTTATGGCCCCCGAAAGAAAAACTTTCAAGATCCGCCACTGATAATGTGACTCTAAGGTATTTTGATACAAAGTGTGTGCAACGAACAATGAACTAATAAGCGTGGTTTACTAATTGATATTGTCAGGTATGGTTCAATATTCAAAACAAGTTTAGTTGGGACACCATTGATAATATCAGCGGATGCAGAACTTAACCACATAATCTTTCAACAAGAGGGTCAAGCTTTTGAAAGTTGGTATCCAACCACATTCACACAAATCTTCGGACCCGAAAATCTTAGCACCTTAAAAGATATCATGTACAAATACCTTAAAAACATGGTTCTGAGTTTGTTTGGTCCTGAGAGCCTCAAGAAGATGATATTTGAAGTTGAAGATGAAGTACTAACCCATCTGAATCAGTGGTGCAACAAGGACACAGTTGAGCTCAAAGACGCGACTGCTAAGGTACATTATTGATTACTATGTAATATCTTTATTTTACACTACTCGTGCCATTCGATCAAATTCAGGACCGTTTCTGACATTTTAGGGGCTTAGGGGCAAACTAAAAATTAGGGCCCCCAATAATTTAGTGTGTATGTGTAAGCGATATACTAATTAGACACTCAATTTCATAAAAACTATACTTCAAATAGTATAATTATAATGTGAATACGCGACCGTCCAAATTAAAGTTAATGTATTAAATTTATCAGCCAAATAAAAAATCATCACTTGAAAAAATTAGCTAAAAAAAAAGTCATACAAATCGGAGTATTTATATGTACCTAGGATATATACTCAAAATATATTATTTATAAGAGTGATTACAAAAATAGTACTCTAACCGTCTCATAATATATTGCTTGTATTTCACTTTTGGTGTCTTAAAATGTTATGTTTATTTTTTAAATGTTTTAATTTTATTTTACATACTTTTATAATATTTCTCTTTTTTTTTTAAGTGCCTCAATTTGTTTTTTGTTTTTGTTTTTTATTTTATTTTTATATTATAGGACGGGAGAGTATTAAATAAGAAAATTAAAAGGCGACTAAAAGAAAGTTTTTGTATTAGGTACAAAAAGAAAAACAGGTTAAAATAAGGAAAATAAAATATTGTTCTTTTAAAATTTTGAAAAAAAAAGAAGAAAAAAAGATATAAAAAAAAAAAAAAAAAAAAAAAAAAAAAAAAACTAAACTAAAATAATGGTAAATTAGAAAGAAGAAAAGAATTAATGAAACAAAAACAAGTCTAACAAGTCCCGAACCCAAAAATCAAGGCTAATTAAAACCTTGCTATAACCATTGAGCTACTTTCTTTACTTGTTTAATATGTATTAGGAGATTGATTTTTATTGCTAAATTCTTTTCAATGAAATTGGGCTTTTAGTCTGGGGCCTGCCCTGGCCCAGTGACGGCACTGATCAAATCAAATATAACCAAGTTTAATTATTGGATAACTCACCCTATCATTTTGATGTCACAAGTTTGAACCCCACAAAATACATTTTCTTGGGACTAGGGAGGTTCCTTTACCTTCCCCCCTTCACCCCCCCTACTCTTAAACTGCGTAAGTAGTTGGACTAATTAACTTAATTTGTGAGGGTATTAATTCAGTAGGGTCATTCATCTTACTTATAAATAAAAAATAAAAACAAAAAAACAATTTAAAATTTTTTTATTCATTTATCATGAGTTTGTAGTAATTTCTATGATACGTCATGCAGATGATTTTCAATCTAACAGCCAAAAAGCTAATCAGTCATGATGCCGAAAGCTCTTCAGAGAATCTAAGGGAGAACTTCGATGAAATTATCAAAGGATTGATCTCTTTTCCTTTGAACATTCCTGGCACAGCATATCACAAGTGCTTACAAGTAAATTAATTTAACTTTCGATCTTTGCATTCCGTTTCGCCTCGACCTTGTAATCTCTAGCTAAGTATGAATCTGCCAATTCAATGTGAATTTAGGGAAGAAAGAAGGCAATGAAGATGTTGAGAAAGTTGCTCCAAGAAAGAAAGATGAAGCCTAGGAAACTTAATGAAGATTTTTTCGATTACGTACTCGAGGAGCTATCGAAGGAGGGAACACTCCTAACAGAAGGGATTGCTTTGGACCTAATGTTTGTGCTTCTCTTTGCGAGTTTTGAGACTACCTCTACTACTCTTACTTTAGCCATCAAATTTCTCACGGACAATCCTCTTGTGCTACAAAAACTTACGGTATGGTTTATTTTTTCTTTAATTTGACCTGTAATCGAGTAAGATATTTACAGTTGAATTTACACACAAGCGAATTAATTCACAGGAAGAGCATGAGATAATTCTTAAGAGTCGTGAAAACGTATTGGATTCTCGCCTTTCATGGAAAGATTACAGATCTATGACTTACACTTTCATGGTAATGTTTATTTTATTTAATTAATTTAATTATTTTTTTCCTTTGCTTGTGTTAGCAAATATTATCTGTTTGGTAAACTATAAAAGTTTAGCGAAATTGTATATATTTATACTCCCTTCGTATCTTTTGTTTATATTTTGTAATAACATATTTCTAACAAAAATCGACATGAAATTAAAAATATACATATACTCCCTTCGTTTATAAATACTTGCTCCATTTCTTCATGCGTGGAGTTTTAGGAAAAATTGGAGATATTAATAAAATATAGAGGTAGTGGGGTAAGTGGAAGAATAAAAAATTGTAAAAAGCAAATGTAGGTGAGAGAATTGGAGGAGATAGTATATGAAATTAATAAAATATAATTTATGTTGGGTCCACTAGCTGAGAGAAATGAATTAAATATTGTAAAAAATTTTCAAATAAGAAAATGGAGCAAGTGTTTAAAAACGGCCAAAAATAAAAAGTTGATCAAGTATTTAAAAATGGATAGAGTATTATTTAGGAGTATATTAGTTGTAAATTTTCTTCAAAAATGTTACTCGTATGTAAGGATATGATTACTTGCAAGTTGCAATAATAATTTTATATATGTCGCGTGGTGCCAATTTTTCATTTCATTTCATTTTGGACCTCATATAGAACGTTAAAACTCTTAAACTTGTAAACGTTCAAAAATATATGATAATGGTTGATGGTTGATGTATGATTAATGCTTAATAATTAATCTTTGTTTAAATATGTTATTATATCCAGGTCATCAACGAAACACTAAGGTTGGCTAACATAGCTCCTGTAATATCCAGAAAAGCAATAAAAGACGTCAGCTTCAAGGGTATGCTTCACCATGCATGTCATTATTAATTAATCAGTTGTTTAATCATTATTCAATCATTAGAGGTCATTTGGAAAATGATTACCATATTTTGAAAAATGATATATAATATGATCGGCTCATTTTTTTCACATTATAAAATGGCCACAATTAGTCTTATAATATCTATAATGTAAATATAATTCTTGAAAATTTTAATCTAACATAAAATAAATATTTTTTGAGAAACTATAAAATAAGAATAAAATTTAAAAAAATAAAACTAAAAATTTGATAAATCAAAAAAATTTTGATAATACTATTTAATACCATTAATAAAGTTATATAATTAATTATTTGAAAAAAAAATATGTCAATTATGAACTATATAATCATTAAAACATTACGGTAGTCATATTTCAAGCGTCTACTGTAAAATTTTCAAATAAATAATCGTGTTATATTAGTGACCACTTGTTACATTTTTTCATTGATACACTCTATTATTATGTACTAATATATATAGACAATTATTATGCAATAAATCATGTTATATTATTAGTGACCACTTGTTACATTTTTTCATTAATACACTCTATTATGTAATATATAGACAATTATTATGCAATAAATCGTGTTATATTATTAGTGACCCCTTGTTACATTTATTCATTGATAGACAATTATTAGAAGTTGCACTCATTGCTTTAGTATTATTAATATTTATTTGTATGCTTTATCATGATATGCATGTACTAATAAATATCCTATTGAGACATATAATATAAATTGGTGGATAATGTAGGTTATACCATACCAGCTGGTTGGCCTGTCATGGTTTGCCCTCCGGCCGTACACTTAGACTCTTCCATCTATGAAAATCCCCTCGAATTCAATCCATCGAGATGGGAGGTACGTATCATAGCTTATCATTCTATTGGATTGATTTAATTATTCGTTGTTGAAAAATAGAAATAACAATACTAATATTAGAGCTTTAATCCCTGTAACGATATAATATAACTAATACGAGATGAGCTGATGTTGAATTGAATATATAGGGACGAGAAGTACATGGAGCAACCAAACATTTCATGGCTTTCGGGGGTGGAATGAGATTTTGTATCGGCGCAGATTTTAGCAAGGTGCAAATGGCTGTGTTTCTACACTACTTGGTTACTAAGTATAGGTAAGGCCAAAATTCACACTATAATATATCATCACCTCTTTATAACAACGCATAGTATATGAATTGCATTTTTTTGGATGGCGAATTGTATTAACTACGTATGTATTTAGACTTTTTTTTTTTTTTTTTTTTTTTTTTTTTTTATGTTTTTGATATCGGATAAATCTTACATGTATAAGTGAAATTTCAGGTGGAAGCCAATAAAAGGAGGGAACACCATTCGGACTCCAGGCTTACAGTTTCCTGATGGCTTTCATGCTTGTTTTGCTACGAAAAGCTCATCAACAAATTAAAGAAAGAATAGATATAGTTTTACAATGTAATTTGTTTTAATATACAACATGTTAGTCAAAATTGACAATACTGTTTTTGGTTTCTGAAATATTTTTCTGTATATTCCAAAAAGGTAGCCTGGTTACAGCATTATATACAAGTCTACTTGCCTATTTTAGGCTATAATTACATCCTGTAATCCCTCCTTAATCACAGCCTATAATCACTCTAAAATCAGAGTGATTTGGTTCAATTATCCTAAGTATGGAAAGAGAAGATATTTATAGAATATTATAGAATATTACGGAGTATTACAGAATATTCTGGATTTCTAACACTCCCCCTCAAGTTGGATGGTAGGGTCTCTAACACCCAACTTGCTCAGTGCTTGCCCAAATGCCTGTGTAGAAACAGCTTTAGTTAAGATATCTGCTAGCTGATCTTCTGATCGAACAAAAGGTAGAGTTATCACTTTTTCATCTAGATGGTCTTTGATGAAGTGCCTGTCGATTTCCACGTGTTTTGTTCGATCATGCTGGACCGGGTTCTCAAATATGCGTATGGCAGCCATATTGTCACAGTACAACTTACAACTTTTCTTTGGTGCATACCCAAGCTCCTTTAGGAGTTTTCTGATCCATACTTCGGTAATTCCTTTTGCAATCCCCCTAAATTCTGCTTCAGCACTCGACATAGCAACTACCTTTTGTCGCTTACTCTTCCAGGAGACCAAATTTCCACCCACAAGAGTGAAATATCCAGAAGTCTATTTTCGACTGTCACGATCTGCTCCCCAATCTGCATCTGTAAAGACGTGAAGATCTAAATGGCCATGGTTCTCATACATAACTCCCTTTCCAGGAGTCCCTTTTAAATACCTCAGAATCCTGTATACTGCCTCAAGGTGTTGTTTCTGAGGTCTGTGCATAAATCTACTTACAACTCCAACAGCGTAAGCCAGATCGGGCCGAGTATGGGCTAGGTAGATTAATTTTCCAACGAGTCTCTGATATTGTGTCTGGTTTACTGATTCTGCATTTTCAAGAATTTGAAGCCCATGATTCATAACCATGGGAGTATCAGCTAGTTTGCAGTCCACCATCCCTGTTTCTGTCAATAAATCCAAAATGTACTTCTTCTGTGAAATAAAGATGCCCTATTTTGACCTGAGCACCTCTATTCCTAGGAAATATTTAAGATTTCCCAGGTCCTTCATTTTGAATTCCTTGAAAAGTTTATTCTTCAGATCTTCTATCTCTTTTGAATCATCTCCTGTTACAATCATATCATCAACATAAATGATGAGACAACTTACTGTGGTACCTCTTCTTTTTAGGAACAAGGTGTGATCTGCATTGCTCTGTTTGTACCCGAACTTCTTCATTGCTATAGTAAACCTTCCAAACCAAGCCCTTGGGGATTGTTTTAGTCCATACAAGGCTTTCTTCAGTCTGCATCCTTCTCCTTTCTTAAAGCCATGTGAGAACCCTGGGGGAGCTTCCACATAGACCTCTTCGGAAAGATCTCCATGGAGGAATGCATTCTTTACATCGAACTGATACAGGGGCCAATCTTTGTTTGCTGCAACTGAAAACAGTACTCTGATAGTGTTGAAGTTTGCTACTGGGGAGAATGTTTCATCATAATCTATCCCATAAGTTTGTGTGTATCCTTTTGCTACCAGCCTTGCTTTATATCTTTCGATGCTGCCATCTGCTTTGCGTTTTATTGTAAAGACCCATTTGCAGCCTACGGGTCTTTTCCCAGTGGGTAGGATACACTTGTCCCAAGTCTTATTTCGGACTAGCGCATTTATTTCTTCCTCCATAGCAGATTTCCAGTTTTTGCTTCTAAGAGCTTCTTCTGTTGTGGTGGGGATGCTCTCAGAGTACAAGGCTGCACAATAGTTTTTTGCTCCTTGGGACAGATTTCCTTCTCCTGGCTTGTTTATCGGATATTTGGATCTCTGGGATTCAAATTCCGGATCATACCTCTTCGGTGGAACCCCACTAGTGCTTCTCGGTGGAAATTCATATCTGCTATGATCAGAGGAACTCTGCGGCTGGCCTTCCCTCATACCTGGTACTTCATTTTCTAACTCATCGGAAATGTTAGTAGACTCAGATGACCCAGATTCATAATTATGGTTTAACTCTGGTGTACGTACCTCTGTTTCAATTAGAACTGAAGACTCAGACATGTCTGAATTAGTGGGCATAGTATCGTGAAGATCGAGCTGTACAACATTATCAGTTGTCTCGGTGGTGTTGCCAACCTGTTCTTTTGGGTCAGGAACATTCAGTTCTAGATAGACCAACCAGCTTAGATCCTCACTAGGATTCTCCCTCTGAGATCGAAGATGGTGGTAGTAGAATTTAATTCGGTTTCGACAAAGTCACAATCCATGGTAGTATACAGACGGTTTGCAACTGGGTCAAAACAACGATATCCCTTTTGGGTGGTTCCATATCCCACAAAGACACATTTGACAGCCCGTGGTTCTAGTTTATTTCTTTCCCGTTTGGGTAAGTGAACATACACCACACAGCCAAAGACCCTAGGTGGCAACGAATGAGTACTAGGAACATTGATATGGGTTTTAAGAGTATCTAATGGGGTAGAGAATTGCAGGCTTTTTGTAGGAAGGCGGTTGGTGAGATAATTGGCTGTGGAAATGGCTTCAGCCAATAATAAGCTGGGACTGAGGATTCTATCATCATGGCCCTAGTCATCTCCAAAAGGGTTCGGTTTTTTCTTTCGGCCATGCCATTTTGTTGTGGGGTGTCACGACAGGTAGTTTGGTGAATAAGGCCATTTGTTTCGGTGAAGATGTCCATATCAATGTTCTTATATTCGGTACCATTATCGGATCTAAGTATTCTAATTTGGGTTTGGAACTGTGTTTGGGCCATCTTGTAGAGCGAGATGAAGGTTTTATAAACATCTGATTTGTTTCTAAGGAAATATACCCAACTCATTCTAGTGCAGTCATCGATAAAGGTGACATAATACAAAAAACCATGTTTATTAAACTCGGGGCCGGTCCTCATACATCATAATTAATTAAAATAAAAGGTTTTCCAGCTCTATTGTCACTATTTGGATACGAATGTTTATGACTCTTTGCAAGAATACAGGACTCACAATTAAAAGGAACATTTGAATTTGAAAGGGAAGGAAAGAGTTTTTTAAGATACCCTAGAGACGGATGACCTAAGCGCTTGTGCCAAATCCAAAGCTGGTGCTCAACCGTTCCTCGAACAAGAGTTGTTTCACCTTGTTGAGACATCTAAGTAACATAATACACCCCACCTTCTTCAATACCATGCCCAATAATATTCCCGGTCTGAGTATCCTGAATAGTACATCCACGAGAATTCATAAGAACAGTACAATTTAGGTCCTTTGTCAATTGGCTAATGGAAAGTAATTTATGAGATAAGTCTGGTATAAAGAGGCAATTAGGTAGTTTGATGTTATCAGAAATTTTAACAACACCCGACCCCTTTGTTTTAATTACTTCTCCATTGGCGGTTTGTATATGGTGTTTTTCTGGTGGGTAGATTTTTTCTAAATCATTAATGTCAAACGTCATAGTGTCTGTAGCTCCGCAATCGAAAATCCATTTTGTATTTTTTTCGGATTTACAGACTAATCCTGTTTTACATGAGTTTGTTTCAATGGTTTGGGTTTTATTATTTAGTGGGCTAGTGTTTTTGGGCCTAGGTATTTCATTAAGTTTAGTTTCCGGTTTTAAATATGTAGTTTAGGTTGGTTCTTCTATTTCGGTTTTGCAAAGTAAGCTAAATCTGTTCTTGGTACATATTTCAGAGTTTACACCATAAAAGAGATCTAGGGTTTCTGAGTTCTTACCTTCCTTCTTCTCTTTCATACCCGAGGCAGAGGAAATCGTGGCCGCCGTTCCTCCTTCGTGGGTGTCTTCCTTGGCCGCCGGTCCTTCGCCGTTGCTAATTGTAGCGTTACCGGAACTCCTCTTTTCTCCTTTCTTCTTCCTATCGGCCCACCAAGAAGGGTATCCAATAATTTCGAAACACCCGTCCTTGGTATGCGGTGTTCCGCCACAGTGAGTGCATCTGAGATTTGCCTTGTCGTCATCTCGCCGGAATCTGGGTTTCTCCGTTCTTCCTTTGGTCGCAAGACCACTACCGACACCAGGGGAGTCGGCCGATGATGCTTGTGAGGCCTTCTCTCCTGGTTTCATGATGACCCGTCGAGAGATTTCTCGCCGGACCACCGCATATGCCGCCTCTACTGTTGGAAGTGGGTCTTGATTCACAAGATCCCTTCGTTCTTTGTCCATGGACTCATTAAGTCCGGCCAAAAATTGGTAAAGCCGGTTGTTTTGAGTTATTTGGTTGTAGATTGTTTGGTCCTCTGAGCAATGCATTGGGTTTGGTACCCTCCTATCAATCTCTTTCCAGATTGATGAAAGTTTACTGTAGTAAACTTCGATTGGGTCGGTTCCTTGCTGGATCTTATTCTTTTGATCGTTAGATCAAATATCTGTAAGCCGTCTTTACCGCTTCCAAACATTGTTTCAATTCCTTGCCACAATTCCTTTGCTGTTGGATAATCTAAGAACTGATTTTGTAGTTCCGGTTCAATGCTTTCGATTATCCACGTAATAACCAGTGAGTCCCGCTGAACCCACCGTGAGTATTTTGGGTCCTGTGGAGATGGTGGGGAGGCAGTGATGTGATTGAGCCTCCCTCGCCCTCCGATGCTCAAACGCATCAGTCTTGACCACTTTGTGTAATTTGTGTGGTTTAGTTTTTCGGTTATTTGGATTGGTTGGTTCATGGTTTCTGTGTTTGATTTATTGGTGTTTAACTGCGAGAGCAGTTGCAATAAATCATCCATCGTTAGTGGTTGTTTTGGAACAATGTCCTGGTTGTCGGTCATGGTAAGTGATGATGCCGATAGTTTTTTCCGGTCGCCGGAAAGAACCTGGCTCTGATACCAAGTCAAAATTGACAATACTATTTTTGGTTTCTGAAATATTTTTCTGTATATTCCAAAAAGGTAGCCTGGTTACAGCATTATATACAAGTCTACTTGCCTATTTTAGGCTATAATTACATCCTGTAATCCCTCCTTAATCACAGCCTGTAATACTCTAAAATCAGAGTGATTTGGTTCAGTTATCCTAAGTATGGAAAGAGAAGATATTTACAGAATATTATAGAATATTACGGAGTATTACAGAATATTCTGGATTTCTAACAATGTTTCCGTCATAAAAATTTTCACAATCATATAAATGTATATGTGTCATAAGTAGAATGTATCGTAATTTTTCCTTTGTCAATCGAAGGGCAATCATCACTAGCCTTTTGGGTAGTGGTACGCCCTTATTACTCTTTATGCTTTAATTATCTTTAAAGTTAATTTCCTTAAGAAAATAAGTGTTACCAGTACAAAAGTCAATGGTCAAAATTCGGTTAAAGGACCCTCGTCACAACGTATTTGTGTCACCTTTTTTTTTTTTTTTAAATTTTATAAAAGAACCTTTAAAACAAAAAAACCTAATTAAAAGGACCTTTCTAACAAATTTTCATAATAATAAAGATATATCTTCTCGGGAATGCCTAGTTGATCTTTTTTATTGACAAACTTTGTTCATCTATATTGCCAACTCATCATGTTTTTTATTTAACACTTGATGAGTCAGATTGAAGCCAATACAACTGTTGCATAACTCTTAAGTACTTCGTTTGAGTACTCCATTTCATGAACACCATTGAAGCTTCCTGTATTGAAGCTTCCTCCACCCACCTTAACCAACACCACCATTTCCACCATCTTCATTGTGCCCACCGTCTTCACCGCAAAACCATCTCGACGACACCAGCAGCTTCACCGCCAAATTAACGAAAACCCTGTGTATAAAGGGTTAAATTAAGGGCATGGTTAATCCTAAAGGGTAGGGATGACCATGTCCTACATTGAAGCAATTTTCTTTGCTTGATTTACGAAGATACAGTTAAAAATGGTGGAGATTGGGAAAGAATTTTAACGAAGGAGGAAGGAATACTTCAATGTAGCAAACAACGTTTCTCTTGTTAAGTCTATTTGGTAGGTATATATTAAGTGAGTTATTATTTTCCAATGTTGATGACATCTCATACTCTTAACATTTCGTGATATGACATAATTACCATGTCAGTCATGACAAAATTACAATCCTATCCACTTTAAAGTGAAAAATTTGTTCAAAATACCCCTTAATATGTGTTTTTTATTGATTAAAAACATCAACTTGTATTCCCTCTATCTTCTCTATCGTAGAATTTTCAAATCCAATAAAATCCAATAAAGTGGTTAAAAAAAATAAGGACGCCGAACAATATGGGCAGTTTTAAAAATACTCCGTAGAATGTCTAAGAAAGTGAATTGGAGTGCATGTGGATCATCTTGATAAAGCCTAGCCAGCCCATATCTGTTTATGCCACAACCCATTGTTGACACACACACGCCTCACAAAAGTCCCTATTAGAAGCCCATTTATAACATAGCTTTTGTTTTTTTCCAAGTTAGAACATAGCTTAATCTCATACATCGTGAAAAAGTGCAAAGTTCAGATTTTGAGATTTATACTAATAAGGGGATTGATTAGTTGAATCTTTTGGAATGAGTTGGACCATCCATTTTATTATTTGTTTCGACTTTTTAAGTATGAAATCTCATATCAAGAGACAAAAGGTTTCTATGATGTCTTATGCCCTCATGGGCCTCATCTCCCTAATATTACATACTTTTCTACAAACTCTTAAATAGATCTTGTTCACACTAATTTATTGTGGAACATTAAAGGCACTATGGTTGTTTTATTAATAAAAAAAAAACAAAAAGGTCACTGTATTAAAATAAAGGTTATTACGTTGAAATAAAATTCATTTTAGTATTATAAAGGCTATAAAAGATTATTTTTTTTTTAAAATTTTTTTTTTATATACTGCTCAATTTGAATAATAAACGTCACTATGTTACAATTAGGGTCATTATGTTCAACGTAACGTCGTACTTCACGTTCACAATAATATTAAAAGCCACACAAGCTTTAATAAAGATTACTATGTTAAAATTAGGGTCACTATGTTCAATACAACGTCAATTACGTGCGTATAAACCTCAGGTCCACTAATGCTATATTTATTCTTTCAATTAACGGGGTATGCAATTAGTTGCTACTACTTTGGACTCAATTAAAGAAAGAATAATATAGTGTTACTCTATTTATTCTTTCAATTAACAGGTATTATAACACTATATATTTATTCTTTCAATTAACGAGTATGTATGGATAGATTCCAAATACTATGTTGAAATCTCATACTCATCCAACACCACATTATGCTGCTCAAACTTTCAATTAACGGGTATACGATTAGTTGCAGCTACTTTCAAAATATGTAATACTAAAATAAATAAAGGCTGATAAATACTTCGTATAATAAACTAGACAGGCGCACGTGAAAAATAAAAAAGAATAAATTGTGGTTTGATGTTCGATCATAAGCCTTAAAGCAAATATTAGGTTAGTTTTGGAATTAGAAATTAATTCAGTCATTTTAGTAAATAGTTTTGCTAACGTAGCTATATAATTTAGAAAAAGATATCAATTAGAAGGTTTTATTTCAGCATGATAATATCAATTAGAAGATACATAAACAATCTATAACATGATATGGTGTTATTATACCTCTATTCTCTAGCAATTCTAATGAGGTAGAAGGCGAATTCGGAGGCCTTCAACAGATACTGGATCTGGAGTATAGATTAATTTCTCTTGAGGATTAGCTTTTGACAATCTAAATCGAGTTATAACGTTGTGCAAAAATACGAGGATCTTAATTCGAGCATACTCGTTACCATAACACATATGTTGCCCTTTTCCATACGGTACAAATGTATTTGCCTGCATTGTGGCTTCAAATCTTGAAGGCTCAAACTTTTCCGGGTTTGGAAAATACTTTGGGTCCTTGTGAGTTGAATAAAAATTCCAGTGAACCTATTTAATCAAAACACAACTAACATTTCACAAAAGTAATTATCAAAATTATATTTTTGGTCTTTTAATTTTATTATTTTTATATCATTAATTCATTTCTACATTCAGGTTATTTTGTGCTGCATTTAGTACTTATGTATTAGTTTTGTATAAGTACATTACTTAATGTAATCCAATGATCATGGTGTGACATTTAAAAAAAAGTACTTTTTTTAGTTGATACGTTTTGATTATTTTTTAAAATGATTTTGTATGATTTTTACAAATTATTTATGGTTGAATATATACCTTGGTAAAAAAGTAAACTTGATAAAAGAATCGTGTTAACTTAAAATGAGAGGAGAATGTATATTTCTGAAAAGCTTAATGTAATTGAATTTCTTTCTTCTAATCAATTTCATACCTTCTGTTTCGGGGTTTTCTGATGTCCTGCGGGAGAGTTACAACACCGAGACTGGAACCGGACGCCTGTACCTGCAAAACAACGAAGACTCCTTGTGGTAGGAGCTCCGCCTCCGACGATCAAGTTAGTACTTGTATGAGGAGTAATAAGTGCGGAAATTAAAGGGGGGAGATCTGGTTCCTCTAGGGGAGGAGTGATCAATGTGTTTAGACTTCTCTAGGTGAGAGTCATTAATGTATAATCCGTGTGTTATTCGAGTTCTCTCTCTCTGTTTTCTTTTTTCTGTTCCTGAATTAATGAGGATTAAGAGAGGTATTTATATCCTCGAGAAGCGTGCCAGTCTCTAGGTTTAGGGTAAACCTAGGGCTGACTGGGCCTCATAACAGGATTGGGCCTTGGTGGCCGGTTTTCCCATTTGGCATGGGTGGACACATGGCGTGTCTCAATTAGTCCGTAGAGGACATATCTGTGACTGACACGTGGCAGGCTCCTGTTGGCCCACGTGAAGGACACGTGGCGGAACCTGGTTGGTCCACTTGTCAGACGGTGACTGGTGGATAAAAATCCCCTAATCATTTGCCCCTCACAGGCGGCACGTGACTGGTCACGTGTCACCTGTGACAGGTGTCACACGGTGACAGGCGACGGCCTGCTACAGGTGTCACTTTGCAGATGGCCGAGAGATTTTCCCGCCCAAATTTTGAATTTTGGAAGCGACCCTTCGCCTTCTCACTTTGCCTATATAAGGAAGTGCTGACTTCGGTCATTTTCACATTTGAGAACTTTGCGAGAGAACATTCGGACCCCTGAACTTGCTCTGACACTTTGGACTCTTGTTGCCTACCGCCTGCTCTGACAAGCCGTTTGCAAAGGATTTCAGAATTCCATCAACCGTCACTCGTTCAGGTAACCGTCGGTTCTCTTACTCTTAATTTTCTTGTTTTTTAATTTTTTTTTGAAATGGCACCCTGGAAGCACACGACACGACCTAAGTTAGTGATCAGCCGGTCACCGAGGACGGCTGAATCTAGGACTAGGAGTGCCGCCTGCCCTTTTCTGGACCCATCTTTGCCCTTTATACAAAGTCCGACTGTATCTGTGTCTATGCAGAACGTGATGGCCAGAACAAAAAAGACTGCTAGGATCTCAAACTCGGACGGCTCCTCCCAAAGGGTGCCCATTAGCGAAACATCTGACCAGGCGCCAGATGTAGAAGTGAAACAAGGCGGCTGCAAAGCCGACAGTTCTGAGGGAGGGGCCAAGGTGGTCCCTTCCCATTTTACCGTTGATACATCTAACTTTTCTCCTGCTCCTTCTAAGGGAGAGGAGGCGGGCCCCTCTGGGAGAGGGGAGGAGTCGTCCTCATCGGATTCGTCAGAGGACGAGTCCGAGTCCAGCTCTTCTGGCCACGCTTCTCCAGGCTCAGAAGAAAGAAACAGCCGCCTACAAGAGGCGAGACTTTCCCATGCAGTTGAGAAGGGGAGCAATTGGGCCGAGCCGTCCGCCTCTTACAGAGAGGAAAACACCCCCTACTACTGCACGGTACCCCGGGGCCGGATCGCAGCCATGCAAGACAAAGTGGAGAGCTTTATAGCTAACCACAGGATGGGCCCTGGGTTTTTACTGTTCGTGCCGGATCCAGAAGATACTGTCGTCTGGCCGGCTGGTACCAGCTATGATGACGGCTGCTTTGGCTGCTATGCGGCGGCCATCAAAGCTGGACTGCGCTTCCCGTTACATCCGGCTGTTCAGCGGATTTTAGATGGGTATGACTTGGGGTTATGGCAGTTAGCCCCCAACTCTTGGGTAAACGTACTCGGCTATGTGGCCGGGTGCGAAATGTACGGGGTGGAGCCGAGCTTTGAGGCTTTCACCCATATGAACTATCTCAGTCGGACCCCTAAGTCGGGCGGTACCGGCTGGTATCAAATAACAAGCCATAGGGGCTACCTCATGACGAGAGGTAAGGCGAACAAGTGGAAGGATTGGCGGAACACCTTCCTGATCATCGAGGGTTCAGACAAGGAGCTGAACAGACGCTTCAACAAGTGGAATAGGGATCCGCCTCTTCTTGCAGGCGGCCGCAGCATGCCGCCTGTTCCCCCAAAGGCTAAAAAAGAGATCCTAGACAAAGGACTCTTCAAAGTAGAGACTAGGATGAACTCTACTTCAGGGGTACGAGAGCAAGTACCCCTAAACTGCGTCCCGAGCTTCAAGTGGCTCTATGACGAGTACTTCTTGGCCGCCTGTGGCCTCAGCAGTCGGTGCTCTAGAGGTAGCCGGCCTGACAAATACTCTGCTTTTTACACCTTGCTTGGGATTTTTACTAACTTTGCTGTTTATTTTTTGCAGCTGACGCCATGAGTAAAATAACAGCATCCAAGACTGCGGCGGCCATGTTGCGGGCCTCTCTTATGCAACAGTCCTGTACCGACTCCCCCAACAAGGGGGCACCCTTGGTGAGCTTCGAACCTCTCTCTTGCTGGAGTTGTAGTTGTGCATATACTGACTATTTTTCTCTTTTTTTTTTTTTTTTTTTTTTTAGTCGGGCACTCCAAGAGCTTCTTCCTCGCAACAGCCGGACCCCAAGGCCCGGAGGACGACTGTTGCAAGCTCTCCTGGGTCTTCCAGGAAAACAGTGGCGGCTGAGAAGCAGCCGGCCACTTCTTCTAAAGCTCCGGCGGGGCCGCCTAGAAGTATGGACAATTTCTTGTAAAAACTCTTACACTTGCTTCTTTCTTGACTAGGTCTAACTTGCTTTTTTACGCTTGATGCAGCCGGCCCTCAGGAGCCTGACTTGGTAGAGGTAGCCAAGTCCATGATAAAAGCAGTTCCTCCATCTGAAAGGGAGGCGGTCAGGGGTGTCGGCACCCTTGACCTTGATGGGATTGCAGGGGTCCTTGCTGAGGTATACTTAGCTTTTTTTTTTTTTTATTTGAATTCCCGGACGCCTGTTATGTTGCTTGAATAAACTGACGCCTGTTTTCTCTTTACTTAGGCCCTGCTCCGAGTGAACGGCCTTCGCAAGCCGCTTGATCGGAAAAACAAAGAGGTAAAGGCTGCAAAAGCTATGGCCGCCTCTAACTGTGATAAGGCAATGTTTCAAGTTGCCCAAAATGAAGTTCTGACAATTGATATTCTTTACTATCAGGCGCAGGCTGCCGCCGCTATCCGGGCTGAGTTAGAGGCGGCCTAGAAGAGGAACAGCGAGCTGGAGGCGACCGTCTCCAATCTCAAGGCCGAGCTCAAACCTCTCCGCCAAAAGATGCTGTCATACGAAGCCATGGAGAAATCCTTGGCTAACGTAAAGGAACGCCTGGTGACCCAGGAGAAGAGTCTAACTGAAGAGCTCTCGGAGAAGGCTGAGCAAGAGAAAAGAGAGCTCGTCCGAGAGATGATGGAGGACTCTTCCCAGATCCAGCGCATGACCTGGAGCCGCCTCTTCCCCAATGCCGACTTTGCCTCGTGGGAAAAAACGTACCGCCAGTGCTCTGAAACATATAATCAAGAGATCCTGGCGGCTGCTGAGGACGAGACGTTGGAGGAGGCCTTGGATGGGGATGAGCAGCCGATAGTGGCGCTTGTGCCACTTGGGGACAAGGCATCGAAGAAGGATGCAGCTAAAGCCGAGTCTAGCAAGAGGAGGGCTGACCAGGCGGACGCTGCTAATGTTGAAGACTTGCCCCATTAAGCTTTTGTATTCTTTCACGGCCTGCGTGCCGTCTGCTTGTATTTACCCGGCCAGGGGGCCGGGGTTCTGAATATTTTTATCTTCATTAATGAAATCATTTTTTGCTTGAAATTTGTCTAAGTGTTGAATATTTGATATTGCATTGTACACTATATCGACTGTTTTGCATGGCCGATTGTAGACAGGTACGGATGGTCCGCCTATGCCCCTGGACGACTGGTTGTCTTTTTCCAGACTAGACGATCAGTCGGCCATTTATTCAATCGGTCTTGTCATTTGCAAAATTAACCAAATAGGAACGTGGTTCCTTGTTATGTTTTCCGGCTAGAGACTCTAGGCTGTCTAAGCCAACTGTTTAATATATACTAAGTTTGGTACTTAGTTTATTTCGTTAAGTAGGTACGCCTGTTTGGTTACAGACGGCAGTCTTAAGTATAGACAACCTAGTAAGAATAGTAGCCGAGTACCTCTGTTTACCAAAAAACAGGCGGACCCCTCGTACCTTTTAAGTTTCATGCTAAGTTTGAGAGTGACTATGAGTTAACATGGGAGTTACTCAGTCTCCGTCACTCTCTAGCTTGAGTAGTAGAGGTACCAGGCGGCGTAGGCCGGCTGATCCCCTTGATTCGCCAATGTTTGTTGGCTATTAACCCAAGTAGTGGTAACCCAGTAGGAGTAGTGGTTTGAGTGCCCCTGTTTGCCAAAAAACAGGCGGTCTACTCAAACCTTTTAGGCTCCATACCAAAGTTTGAGGGAGTGACTATGAGTTAACGTTGGTGTTTACTCAGTCGCCGTCACTCTTGCTTGAGCAGTAGAGGTATCAGGCGGCGGAGGCCGGCTGATCCCCTTGATTCGCCAATGTTTGTTGGCTATTAACTCAAGAGGTACCCCCTGAATTTATCCCAAGTAATACAGGGAGTCATCCGACTCAGATGTCAACTGCTACCACTGGTTTGGTTAGTGATAGAGTTATCCTTGTCTCAGAAACGGCTACGTGGTTGCCCTTGGGGACAGTCGTATAGGTGCCGTGAAATTCATATCTGCTATGATCAGAGGAACTCTGCGGCTGGCCTTCCCTCATACCTGGTACTTCATTTTCTAACTCATCGGAAATGTTAGTAGACTCAGATGACCCAGATTCATAATTATGGTTTAACTCTGGTGTACGTACCTCTGTTTCAATTAGAACTGAAGACTCAGACATGTCTGAATTAGTGGGCATAGTATCGTGAAGATCGAGCTGTACAACATTATCAGTTGTCTCGGTGGTGTTGCCAACCTGTTCTTTTGGGTCAGGAACATTCAGTTCTAGATAGACCAACCAGCTTAGATCCTCACTAGGAT